GAGAGCCTCAAATCTTTGGCAGGGCCCTGCTGGGGAACCTGTTAAGAAAGGAGTGCCTGAGAGCATGTCAAGAGTACTTTTCCTTAAGTCGTGTGCATGCACACAAATGCTCATGCCCACCATTAAACTTTGTTGGTCTTAAAGGTGCCCCTGGACTCAAACTATGTTTCCTCATTCCACTGGGGGCTATCAATTAAATTTAAACAAAACATCATTAAAAATATTCCACATTTTAATAATAACTCAGCAATAAAATAAGTAGCCTAAGCAGACTTGATATTTTTGTATGAATAAGGTTGGGAAATACCTGGAGGTTTTGGGGGTGGAGCCTGGAGATTGGCAACCCTAACTATGAAAGAAAGTCATTTTTAAGTACAGGTTTAGGAAGGAGAGGCAATACTTCCTCCCCCATTTCCAATACACAAACGAAAATCAAAACTCAAACTCCTAAAGTCTAAATCCCTTGCTGACTCATAACTCTTGGGATGATCATTTTCATTTGCTTGTGATAAGGTTGCATTTTATTGCTGAAACAGTCTACTAAGCAAATTATCAGACAACTACAACATACCTTGTTGGGTTGATTTACATCATAATTGGTCAAAGACCCCAGAAGATGTTGGAGACCAGGAACATTATCATCATTGATGGCATGAATGATGGCTTTCATGACAAATGAATCTTCTTCATCCTTGTTAATTAGAGGGGATGGGAGGGAAAAGACATGAGAAGATAAAGTTGAGGGGGGCAAAAAACCCAAACACACTATTTTTTGTGAGGGTACAGAAAAGGAAATATAACTGACACCAGTGTACACTGCAATGGTATGGAGTGCTTAGAAAACCAGAGAACCTGGGAAGCCCTGATTCAAATCTGTGTAGTAACCTATGAAATTTACAGGATGATGGTGGACTACTTGCATTCTCTCAGCCTAACCTATATCACAGGGTTGTTGTGAGGATAATGTGGAACAGGGAAGAACCACATACACCACTCTGAGATGTTCTGAAGGACAGTTAGACGGACTGTGGTAATTTTATGTCACTACCATTCCCAATGATAGTCTAACTGCTAACATTTTCACATGTGTTCTGAAAATACTTTACTTTTTTAATGAGATGTCTCTTTTTGCTGTATCACCAGATGCTGTTCATATATCATCTGGGAAATAAATTCTGCCTCCAATGTGTTTTTTGTTGGCGTTTGCACAATTTAGGATTAAAAAAAAATGTTCCCCAAGAATAAACAATCACTATCTCACAGAACAGTGCTGCGTTTACTCTTGAGTTTACTTATATTTTAAACCACAGTGGCACAGTGCTGCAATATCTCTGGCTGCTGAAGAGTTGGTTTAGCAAATTAAGGCAACTGTTTCAGCATTAAAGGCATAGTACATGAATGAATAAGTGGAGATTTATTTATTAAAAAGTGTATGTTTGCAGAGACCAAAAAATAAGGTAAATTTAAAAAGCACTTTACAACTTTCTGATATATCCGCCCTTTAATTTTCAGGAAAAAAACTATTTAAACACTGCTGGTCACAGGAATGGATACAACAGAGTACATGGTAAATCTGAAAAAGAAAACTTCTGGCTTTATAGACCTAAACATAGTACACCTGCTTCAAAGTACAAAGTCTGGAAGAATATTTTATATTCCACCAAAGCACTCTCTTTTAAATGAGTACAGTAAGCTAGAGAACATGCAGTAGATCACACAAGTTGGCTATCTATACGTTAAGAAGTATTGTTATTTGACTGTATGAAAATCATGCTGAGAGTGTTGGTAGTTATTGTTCTCAGAAACTCAACTTTTGGGTAAAGAGAGGATTTCAGTTTCTGAATCTTCAAGTTCCACAAAAACCACACAAAAGAATAACAACCCTCAACATTAAGTATGTGTTTGATCTTCACAAGAACAACCTCTGTTCTAAATAGGTATGCTTATCAAACATAAAAAGAGAAGAAGTCCTACTATGCATAATTTTGACAATAATGGAAACCACTGTACACAGCACATATATTGAATGTTCAAGCACAGAGATTGTACAGTCAGTGGGGTAATGTATCCATTAAATGCATAGCCCCCACATATCTGTGAGTTCAATGCTGGTGCTGTGTTGTATGAGCAGATAGCTTATAGAATTCTGAAGTCAAAACTACTGGCAACATGATAGTTTCATTAAGAAGAGGGTGAATATATAAAGTGTTTAGGAATAACAACATGGCTATCAGTCCCTTCAGGTCTAGTACCTATTCGACTCCCTCACTATGTTGTCATGGCAAATCTGAATGAGTTACAATCACTACAACTTGAAGAGTTTGAGAGCAGGGAGGTGCAGTGTGTGCATGAAAAATGTTCCACACCCCTCCCACCCCATGACAACTGCTGGAGTTACCACTGCCATTCACTCTCAGCCTAACCTGCCTCACAGAGTTGTTGTGAGGATAAATGGAGGAGAGGATACAGTGTAAGCTGGTTTGGATCCCTATCGTGGAAAAAGGCAGGGTATAAACAAAGTAAATAAAATACAGTTACTGATGCTCAAACATTGAATAAGTCACAAATTAATTTTAGCTTGAAGTATTTAGAAAATAAGTGATTGAGAAATTTTATCATCTACTTAAAATTACATTGAATGCACTGTCTGAATATGGTCTCTTGTGCAGGTTTATGAGTTATTTCCTTGGTATCAATATGAATTTCCCATAGGGCACAGTTTGCACATATTACAAGTCAGATTATATTAAATCAATTGTTATACTTCCACCATTTACTTACCAGAGTATCATCACTTCTAGCCACACTCATGTTACTTCTGGATAAAAAAGATCTTGATAATCTTTGGCATAATGATATTAATCGCACAGATTGCTTTTATAAGAGAAAAGAGAAATGTTTTGTGAAAATAATAATTTGTAATAGGAAAGATCTCTTGTAACTTTAAGTTCAGCCGACAACATTTATTATTTATTTATTTCTCAAATTTATACCCCGCCCTCCCAGCCAAGGCCGGCTCATTGCAGAAGTGTAATTATAACGGTTACGCTAAATCTCTGTGCCAAAACTAATTTAGAGTATAATAATTCACAAGTTTTATATAGTAAACTCACCACACATACTCCCCATTTCTTTGAGTGATGAGAAGTCCATAGAAAATACTATATCCCTTATGATTATATAGCACTGGAGAGTTGTGGCATCTTTGTGATATATGCTCTGCTTAAAAATAGTGGTAACAGACGTCTGCTGCAGGCAGCAAAACTGCTGATTGTGAATTAGATTTCCAGAGAAAAAAGGACGTGAATTCAGACAGCCTCTAAGCTGTCATCGTTGCCTGGGTCTATTCCTAACTGAAACTGTCAGTGTCTCCTTTTCTTATCTCACACGCCACAACCCTTTTGATCTGATCATGGACCTTACAAAAAACAGGAAATTATCAGTCCAGGCAAAAGACCAAACAAAAACGAACACCCCCCCCAGGATCCATAACAATATCAGTACAATTTCAATGCACTCATTGGACACAGCAGTCATGATATTAGTGACAACATGTCGTTTTCACTAGCTCCTGTCACATGGTAAATACATGGATATTAAAACTTTGCCACATAAAAGTTATGTGGTGCCCATTAAAACAGGATCAGGAGAGTCAGATCTAAGCACTAGAGCTTATGTTTATAAAGTGCTGAATTCATCACCATATACTCATACCTTATCTTTTTATTTGTGATCTCTTATTTAAGGAAAGATTTCACTACTTTAATCTTAGATCATATAATCATACTTCCCCCCTCCTTAATTCTATTGAAATCACATAGTCTATACTCTCTTCCATTCAGGGTTTCATGAATATTCATTATTTGCAGAAACCTCATTATTCTGACCCTATTCCCTCACTGGGATAGAAATACCACACAATGCTTAGCTCTAATGCATATTTGACTTCTGCTCACCACCAATTTTACTCTGGAAAAAAGAATGTACAAGAGTTTCAGAACTACATTCATAGACCAATACTTTAAAGCAGACCAAGACTGTAATAGCTTTTTATTTCTAAAACACAAGATCATAAAAACTGGCTTACTTTCCATTTCCTTCGTGCTGCAAACTTTTTGAATTTCTCCATATTTACAGCAGATGCTTTTCTACTCAGTACTTGTAGGGTATCCTTAGGCTGTGAGGAGATGAAAAGAAGTCTTTCAAATTATATATTTTATTCTACAGAGCTGGGGGGGGGGGATAGCAAAAAAAAAGGTCTGTTAACTAGATGCATTTCCTTTGCCCTGAATCCTAAACTGGGTATACAAATCCATCTATTAGAAAAAAGTGAAGGTTTATACTTAATTCAATTCTAAGCACAGGCAAAAGATAATTTTTTTCATTTATTTTTCATTTATTTAATGCCATGTTTAAAAATTCAGACATTTATTGGTATCCTTTTAAAATTTTGTTTGGCTTACTATTTTGTCTTCCTTTTGAAATCATTCCCTCACTGCATAATGTGCAGCTAGTGGTATATATCTCATAATACTTGCTCTCAGTGGCTGCATTCAGAGACCATTTCAAGCCAGAATATGCACAAACATGACTTTCTAATGGACTCATTACCAAGCCCCCTGCTCAGAGCTTAATGTGGGGCTCTTGTTTTAATTAAAACTACCTGATGTACAAATGCAAGCATGAAGCTTAACTGGTGCTACGTTTTCCCCAGAAACCAGGATTCTATACCAAGATTTAATCCAGGCTGTTTCTCCACTGGGTATGCAGTTTCTCCACTGCCACACATCAGCTGCAGGGAATGTCTGTGAAAAAAATAAAGGAGCCTCCTTTGGGCTTGAAGCACTGCCATATGGGAGACTTTCCCACACTGAAATGGTGCAGGGCAATGCTCCCTCTAAGCTGTGGAGTCTTGTGAGCAAAAATTCTACTTTGTGAGCTACTGGCGTTAAAGTTGTGAGCGAGCGTTTTGGCTGCTGCATAAATTAGTTTGCTCTGGAGCCATCCTTCCTGAGATGAGACAAAAATGTGTGAGCCGGAGGCTAAAAAAGTGTGAGCTAGCTCACACTAACTCAGCTTAGAGGGAACACTGGTGCTGGGCAGGAGTGTTTCCATCCCATTTTTGCTACTCTACATGGAAAGCAGCTAAAACAGTGAAACAATTCTCCCTGAGGAACCTGAATCCAGCTCTTTAAAAACAACAACATGACTTGATATGACATCTGGATGCAGTCAGTCACTTGAATCATCTACTGGGTTCCTCTTTCCTTTGAGACTGTGGCATATCTGGAGACTGACCTACAATAGTTTACTCCAAAACGTTAGCTAAACACTTGAAACATTTGGCCATTAGCAAAGGAAGGAAGACTGCAGCATACATCTAAAATCTTTCTAGTCACCGGTAAGTGCAGCATTTCCTGGGCCACCTGGGGGTGGGTGATGGGGAAGGATGCAACAAAAAGCTCAAAGGTTATGAGGAGCCTATCAGAAGCTAAGTGGGATCAAAGAGGCTGCATTTAGAGCACAACCTTCTTTTATGTAATAGCTCCTTGAAGATCAGTCTTTTCCTTGGCAAAATACTGATCACGTATGTCCTTGGAATGCATATTACCAGCACACTCTTTAATAAAGTCTATGACTGTGATGCAGCGACTTTCAGCTCAGACAACAAAATCTCTGTTCAGTAGGGGAGCTTTAATTTTCCCAACTGTTCAGGCAGTGATCTGAAAAAACCAGAAATACAGTATAAAACCACACAAGGAGATCACAATCTATGTATTATATACTAACCTTAATCCAGGGGTGCTGCAAGCTGTCTTGAATGGTCATCCTTTTCCTTTTAAAGTAGAAACACATGTATTCTTCAAATTGGCATATTTGTAACTATATGTAACTATATAGTACCCCAAACATACTATATAATAACAAGTCTTGGATACAAATGATCATGTCACCCTCTCAGTGGCAAAATTCATAGGCACAATAATAAAATATATAAGATAAATAATACTGAGTAAGGTCTTTTAAAATAATTTTTGGTTCTAATTTCTGCTTAAGGTGAAAGTTGTATGAGAAGTACTAGATGGATGGATAGAAAGATAGACAGACAGACAAGTCATTATGAACCAAGTTGCTTTCAGACATTAAAAGCAAACTATACAAGGCAAATGATGCCAGGAATAAAATGACAGGAAAACTTTCCTTCCCCAAAAGGTCTAAGAGGAGCTGCTATCAGCAAGTCCCCTTAGTAAGCACTCAATGTTACAGTGATATTATTACTATTTTAACTCACTTTGGGTCCTTAACCAGAAGTCTTCTTATAAAATCCGTAGCTAGGGCACTGGTATTATTGAAGAATTCTTCCTCAAAGTCATAGTTCACTGCAGATACATTGGCTAATGTGTCTTGTTTTGTCTCTCCAAGAAAAGGCGATGCACCACTCAGACTGTTAAAATGAATTTTGGTGATATTATTACTATTTTGTTTTAAAATCCTTAAAGTGATAAGGAAACAACAGATTACTATTTTCAGAATTCTGAATTGCCAGGAAAAGCAAAGGAACAAGGAACAATAATGATCTTCAAAATAAACCATAATAGATTATGCTTTTTATTTATATATTTACATTATTTATAGTCTGCCTTTCTCACATGGACTCAAGGCACATTATACATAGGGAGACAGTACAGTCGACAAAATGGAATATTCAGTAACCAATGCATTAGGATTTTAGAAGTTTGGAACCACCAGAAAGAAATGAAGCACAGCACTAAGTATTCACATGCCACATTAAGCAATACAGAAATTACATAAATAGGATCCTACTTATAATAAGCTATATACAGCAGTATAGACCACACTCCCTACTCATTTATCCAAGCAAGTTTGTAAAAGCATTTTGTACAGTGCAACCTGTACAGAAAAGCTCTCTTGTATAATTCAGTTTTGCATAGTTTGCAGAAGGCCAGGAGAGTGGGAGATTTCATGACCTCCTTGAGCAAACCATTTCACAAGGTGGGAGCCACAACAGAGAAAGCACATGTATGGGTAGTTGCTGATTTTGCCCATTTGCAGGCTGGCACCTGCAGAAGCTCCTGCTGACTTGAGAGAAGTTTGCATGGCAGAACATAGGGAGAGAGGCAGTCCCATAAATAAGAGGGACCATGAAGGGCTTCATATGTGACAGCCAATATCTTAAACTGAGCCTCATAACAGATGGGCAGCCAATGGAACATCAGCAGAATGGGAGTAATATGCATGCTCCATCTAGCTCCCATTAACAGTCGAGCTATGGCATTCCAGACCAGCTGGAGTGTTCAAGTTGATTTTGAGGGAGACCAATGTACAGTGAATTACAGTAGACTAGTCTCAATATTACTGTGGCCTGCGTCAAGTTTTGGGAGTTCCAAGGTGCGTGGCGGGAGCTAGCACAAAGTTCCCTTGAACTTAGAGCTTGGTTGGCTGCTTTCTATTTCCCTTTACATTAATATTCCTCACGAGGAGGCACGTTTGAGCCTACCAGATATCTTACACAAAAGAGACACTGGTCCCCCGGCTCATTTTCTTATAGATCTTGTTGATGTGATCTTTGAAAAAAGTTTTTTTCGCTTTCAAGAAGAATTCTATTGGCAAATTAAAGGTGTTGCCATGGGGAGCGCATTTGCCCAGTCGGTTGCCAACTTATTCATGCAAACGTTAGAATCCCAATGGATCAACAATGGAATTTCTAACCCTTACTTTGCACACATCATTATGTATAAAAGATATATTGATGACGTGTTCCTTATCTTAGACTCTGAAAACATTGCTTTTGAATTTATAGAATGGATAAATTCTATACACCATTCCATTAAATTTACTGTAACAACTGACAAACAACAGGTACACTTTCTTGATACTTCTGTCTTTGTCCATGAAGGTAAACTGGCAGTACGTCCATACAGGAAGAAAATAGATAAGATCTCTTACTTGCACTTCACCTCTTCGCATGCAGCACATGTTTGTTAGAAACAATATTCCCTATGGACAATTTCTTAGATTAAAAAGGAACTCTACTTTAGAGCAAGATTACAATGTAGAAGCCAGTAAAATGCAAAAGGATTTCCTAGAGAGAGGTTACCCTTCACACATAGTGA